TTTGACTTCAGCTTTGTCCAGAAACAACTGATCAACATAGTTTTTTCCTTTGTAACAACAGTGACATATGTTACAAATCATTTGCTGTAGTCTGGGTTCAACAACCTTAATTCATTTAAAAGCCAGGGGATACTACAAGACTTTGAAATCTCAGAATTGCTATATTGTTTTCTTTTTTTATCTAAACAGTTACTGGATTATTCCAGTTGGTGTGTGTGTGTGTGTGTGTGTGTGTGTGTGTGTGCCTTTGTATTACTGTACTTACATCATGAGGACTGAAACCTGTTAACAGACTCACACTGTGGGAACTCGGCCATCTTTGTGGGGACCAGAAGCTAGTCTCCACAAGGAAATCACTGATTTCTAGGGTGGCAACATGGTTTAGGGTTAGGATGACGTTAGGTTAAGTATTAGGGTCAGGGTTAGGTCTTAGGCAAGTACTGGTTATGGTTAAGGTTAGGATAGCTTCATGTCCTCAGCCAGGAAATGAATGTAAGTCAATGTAAAGTCCCCACAAGGAGTGAAAACAGTGTTTGTCTGTTTGTGTCACTTTTTTCAGGTTCTCACTAGATTCTGCTCATATCTTGTCTCGAGCTCATCACCAAGGTGCACCAGCCTGGTGCATTCTGCTTTTTGCTCCACTAGCATCAAACATGCATATTATCCTAAATCTGACAGATGGAGACAGATGTTCACATTTGAGCTTGTCTTCACTTTCATGGTGTGTGTTTGCAGGAATACTCCCTGCTGTACGAAGAGGCCAGTTTCTTCCAGCTGGCTCCTTTGCAGGCCGAGCTGGAGCGCTGGAGGATTCAGCGGGAATGTGGGATTGTGTGTCAAGAATGTGAATGTGTTGTGGTTCATGTGGCTCCCGAGCTTGGTGAGAGGATCAGTGTGAGCGCCCACTGGGCCGTGATTGAGGGGATTTTCCCTGAGGTCAAAGACGTCATGTCCAAATCCCTGAACACCAGCTGGAACCAGGACTCCACACACATCATGCGCTTCCCACTCAACGGCTACTGCCACCTCAACTCTGTGCAGGTACATAACACAGTCTGGGTTCAGTTTTAAACTCAACAAAATGATTTGTAAGAGATTAGACACTACCTCCTTCTTATTTAGATATTCTCTAACTGATTCAGTGGCAGACAGTGCATACAAATGTTATGCTTGAAAAAACTGAATTGTTCTACCTGTGATAACCTCTGAGACTCACTAGACTATGCTAGGGACCAGGGTTTGGTTAGCACACCTCTTGAACAAAGGCCCAGGTTTGTATTAATAAAATGAGTTAAAGTCAAAAGTTCATTATACCTATACTTCATGGTTAAGGAGAAAAGCAGAAACATAACTGGCACTAATAGGCCTAATAACGAAACTCCACAATTTTTGGTCTCAGGGTTTGTTCACATCAGCATTTTATAAGGAAAGGCAAGTCTATTTGTATTGCACCTTTCAACAACCAAGAAAAACAATGCTTTATATGAGACATAAAGGCATAAACACAAGACAATATAAATCCATCTAACCATCCATTACCATCCTCTTACCCGGAGTCGGGATGCAGTGGCAGCAGGTTCAGCAAGGTAATCCAGGTGTCCCTCTCCCCAGCATGTTCTGTCTCCTCCGAGGTATTTCCAGGTCAGCTGTATAATCTCTCTAGTGTGTTCTGGGTCTGCCCTGAGGTCTCCTACCAGTCAGATGTACCCAGAAGACCTCCAAAGGAATGCACCCTGGAGGCATCCTAATAAAATGCCCAAACTACCTCAACTGGCTCCTTTCAATTATTACATGAACAAGATCATTCACATATTTGTAGCTTCTTTCAGTTACTGTCAGCAGGTTTAATGACGACAAAGAGAGCAACCAACTACTAATATGACCAGACACTGAAAAATGCAGTATGGATGATGGCCACTAGACATCTAAACAATATCTGGTTCTACACATACAGGTGAAGTCAGAGGTTTACCTGCATCTTAACCAAATACATTTAACTCAGTTTTTCACAACTCCTGACATTTAACCCAATCAACGTTCCCTGTCTTAGGTCAGTCAGGATCACTGCTTTAGTTTAAGAATGTGAACTGTCAGAATAATAGTAGAGAAAAAGATTCATTTCAGCTTTTATCTCTTTCCTTGCATTCCCAGTGGGTCAGATGTTTTACATACACTCAGTTAGTGTTTGGTATCATTGCCTTAAAATTGTTTAACTTGAGTCAAATGTTTCAGGATGCCTTCCATAGGCTTTGTACAATAAACCGCTGGAATTCTGGCCCATTCCTCCTGACAGAACTGGTGGAACTGAGTCAGATCTGGAGGCCTCCTGCTCACACACACTTTGTCAGTTCTGCCCACAAATGTTCTATTGGACTGAGGTCAGGGCTTTGTGACAACCACTCCAGTACCTTGACTTTGTCAACCTGAAGCCATTTTGCCACAACTTTGGAAGTCGGCTTGGGGTCATTGTCCATTTGGACAAGACCCATTTGTGACAAAGCTTTAACTTCCAGGCTGAGGCCTTAAGATGTTGCTTCAATAAATCCACATAACCTTCCTTTCTAATGAAGCCATCCATTTTGCCCTCCGCTCCCAGACACAACCCCCCCCCCCCCCCCACACACACACAGTTGGGATGGTGTTCTCTGTAATGTCTGAGTATGGTCCTTGTGGACACATTTACTTCAGCTGATGATAGGTGCGCCTGGATGTGACCAAGCATTTTTTTCTTTAGCACACAGATGGCAGACAGCTTCAGAATGTTCTCTTGAAATCTTGGTTATTCTCTGTACCGTGATTTACATATGTAAATAATCTCATTCATATCCACTCATTACCTTTTTTTGGCAACAAAAATCATTTTAACATTTGTAACATTGACCTTGTCAGATGTACTCACAGAGTTTCTATGGGACAAAAAAAGGACTGAAAAGGAAGGTAACTCTACACTGCATGTCTTGCAAACATTATGTTCTATGTGATGCAACTTTGAACCAGGTGGCATGGTGTGGCAGTGGTTAGCTCTGCTGCGTCACAGCAAGAAGGTTCCAGGTTTGAGCCCTGGCTGACCCAGGGCCTTTCTGTGTGGAGTTTGCATGTTCTGCCTGTGCTTGTGTGGGTTCTGTCCAGGTGCTCCGGCTTCGTCCCAGAGTCCAAAGACATGCAGCTTAGATTGATTGGTGACTCTAAATTGCCCATGCATGTGATAGGCTGGTGACCCAGCCTCTCGCCCAGTGTCAGCCGAGATTGGCTCCAACCCCCCACAACCCTTTTCAGGATAAGCAGTATAGATAATGGATGTCTCCATCAGCAGCCATCAGTAGACATGTGTCACAGTGTGGTCTTGGAGCATAGTTCTAGATTAATAACCACATTTTTCTCAGCACTGTCAACTTTGGTCTTAAAAGGCCAAGACTGCACATTGTAAAGGGGCCTTGAGGGGCCAAAGGGTCTATTGATGGCATCCACTGGCTGTGCGTTCTGGTGGACCCAATCAGTTTCACCATAAATGCAGCGATTACAATATAATTTTACAGTATTATTTTAATAACAATGAAATGTTTATTAAACTATATGCAAATAACCATGAGACTGTGGTGGATTTCACACACTGGATGTAGCAGCGAGTAAATTACACTTTATAACTGCAGCTGGTTACAGGGTCAGGGACTTTCTTTGTTCCATGCACAAATGCTGAATAGTGATATTAGCATTACTACTGAGTGACTATTTATGTGCAGTACTTCTGCAGTAAATAGTTCTTCATCACAACTTACTGTATGAATAGAGTACACTCATATATTTTCATGTCATCACATCAATGACATCAGTAAAAGGGTGTTTCTTGCATCTCTTAGGCTATGTTTACACAGCAATAGTCTGGTGAAAACAAAAACTTTTTTCCTGTTGCATCTTTGAAAACAGTCAGCCTTTTTATGTGACGATGCTTTCAAAATGATCTCCATTTACACAGCTCTGGAAAACAATGTAGTGTGTCTTCCAGGCTGGTAGTTGGTGGTATCATTTCATAGGAAAACATCATGTGCCTGTGCACAAACCTTTTAGTCATCCATCCATCCATCTTCATTGTGTATACAAGTAGCAGAAATGAGTTTCCTCCGGAGAGTGTCTGTCCCTTAGGGATAGGGTACGGAGCTCAGTCACCCATTAGGAGCTCGGAGTAGAGCCACTGCTCTTCCACGTTGAGCGGAACCAGTTGAGGTGGCTCGGGCACCTGTTTAGGATGCCCCATGGACACCTCCCTGGGGAGGTATTCCGGGCATGTCCCTCCAGGAGAAGGCCTCGGGGCAGACCCAGAACACACTGGAGAAACTATGTCCGCCTTTTAGTCAGTGTACTGCTATTTACATAAACCCTAATAGACATGCATAAGAGGTCCCCGTTGTCAGGGGAAATGCAAATGTATGTTTACATGGTGATGGAGACAGTGGCATTACCAAATTTTTGGCTCTGGAACTGGTGAAACTGTTTCCATGTAAACAGCACCTTAGGGTGCTTCAGTTCTGAGGTGCAGGGAGCAAGGAAGCTTCTGGAGGAGCTATGATGGAGGATACTTGAGAGCATCCTTTGCAAATATTTTTTATGAACCGACACACCCCTTTATCAGAAATCAATTGATGATTGGATGGTTCACATGTAAGACTGGAAAAAAGTACGTCTCATGTCATTAATAAAGTGTTTCCTCGAGTTCTTTCTCCTCACATGTTTTCGTTCTATTTTTTTCCTAGTATCTTACATGGCCCAGAATAAGACACATATAAGAGACTTGAGAAACACTCAAAGTCAGGTTTCCACCCTGCTGTTTAAAGGGAATGAGAGGAGCTGGTTTGATTGGACATAGCTAAACTCAGCCCCGACTCCACCTGTTCACAAAGTATTCCTCCCTCTGATTTATTCTTATTCTGCCTCTCCTCAACAACACGCTAGGTAATGCCTGACTGCGCACAAAAGTGCACTGTGCCTATGGTCACCAAACTGCTAAACATTCAAATCAACCGATGGTTAGAGCCATCGGTTGAGTTGGCGCCACAGATGGCTGCCTCAGTTCTGTACCAGAAACAAATTCCTTGTGTGCAACATACTTGGCCAAATAAAGCTGATTATTCTTATTATAATTGTTGGACACACCCATATTCACCTTGTGCCTGGAATTTACATGACTTTAGCTCTGCACTCCATTTAAACAAAGTAGCTAATAGACTCAACAACGATCCATGAAATGTTGAACTTTCATATTTTTTCCAATAAGTATTACTGACATCAGCAACCAAAGCGGAAATGTCAGTTCAAAGGCTTCTGGTCACATCCCACGCTTGTGTTGCTGTTTGTATGTGTGTGTATGACTGCAGGTGTTGGAGCGGTTACAGCAGAGAGGATTCTGGATCACAGCTTCATGTGGTGGTGGAGTGGACTCTTCTCAGTTTAGTGAATACATTCTACGGAGAGAGAGCCAAGGCAACCGGCACACCCCCACCCTCATACGAATCAAACAGGAACTCACTGACTGAACTCAAAGCTAAACAAAGAAAACTATCAGCAACTGGTCCATGCAAATATGTGGACATGAACGCACAGAATCTCTTACAGTTCCATGGGATGATATTTTATCTTCTTTGTCACTTTACATACAGTTCATCAATATGGAAGTCCTGAGAGGCAAGTGGAAAAAAATTCTGGTGATCCATTTTCTAAGCCTCTCCTCAGTTTATGACATAAGAACAGGTGGGAAAAGGTTCTTACTTTGTTAAACTTTCTAAGTTACTTAATTTTTACTCATCTGTGAAGTAGGTGTGGAAAAAAAAAATTTTTTTTCTAAGTTACAACCCCACACCCCCCATTACATTTTTTGCTGCTTTAACCATTTAATCTAAAGTTAGGGTCTGACAGACTTGCATCAAAATTCAGTTAATGGCTTTACCCATGTTCACATGCATAAATAAGCTTTCTTGTGGGGCATTTAAAGCTCTACTGGGGCCCCTCTGCTGGCGTTTAGTTTGTTTATGCCTCGGACTGGCTCTGTTACAGTGCATGAAGAAATTAAAACTCACCTGGAAGAAAACATAACGGCTTTTTGCCCTATTTAGGCAACAGTCTTCATTCAGTCATCTTTTTCACCTGTTTCACTGTCGAAAAAAATTATAACTTCGAAAAATGATCCTGGCAAAACTTTTTTTCAACTGGAAAAAACTTTTTTACCACCTATTTCACTGATAAGAAAATTAATTTAGTAACTTGGAAAGATTAGCAAGGCCAACAGTTTTTTTCACCTGATCATAAATAGAGAAGAGAAAAACATTTGATGAGAAAGATTTTTCCCACTTGTCTATCAGGGCTGTGTTTAGGCATAGGCAGTCATCTAGTGTTCCATGAGCCGGAGGACAGCGAATGAGAAGGTAATTTCAGATGCACAATCTACTTTGAATAGTCTGCCTCTGCCATCCAGTGCAGCCCTTACATTGGTAAAAAGAATCAAAAACTGCTCACTCAGCACTAAACAGATGTACTGAGAGAAGACTACAGACAAACAGTTGGAGGACTCTACTTCACTGTAACTTCATTAGCCTGCTCCTGCTGCTTATTTTGTGACCCTGTGCTTCACTGGCTCACAGTGCTGTGTAACAATCACATATGAGTAACCAGGTTTTATATATATCACCAAAACTTCACAATGTGATTGACATTGAAATAATTCATAACGATACCCCCTCAACTTAAATCACGTAACAGTTAGTCACTGAGTTTAACAAAGGAAAGTATTTTATAATGAACAGTGATCTACACCCTAAGATTAAAATCACTGAGGTCCCAACCCAGAGAATCCATGCATTTTAAATCTGTTAAAACTGTTTGGGCTTATAACAACAGCTGTCAGAAACACAAGCTGTCAGAAACACAGCAGTGTGCTCTGTTAAGGCACAATACTGTGAGTGAATGACCTGAGATGAATAGTCATACAGAAACAGCACTGGATGATGCAAGCAAGTGGTCAGTTTATGGCTGTTTCGACAGCATTTTGCAGGTAAACACATTTTATTGAAAAAAAAAATGGACCAAAGTAACTTTTGGATCATAAAACAGTTAGGAAGTGAAGTGATACTAAGAATGTTGCTCTTCTGTACAGAAATGACCAAGACTGTTTAACATGCACACACACACACACACACACACACACACACACACACACACACACACACACACACACACACACACACACACACACACACACACACACACACAGGGATATGGAAAATCAGGTTATGTTTATTATCACATCTGCAGCATGATTAAAATCAGTTCAGTACTTGTAAAGGTCGACGCGATGATGACATATTAGTTTATGTGAAGCTGAATGAAGTTACTTTTTCAAATAATAAAATATTATACAGTTAATATCATTGTCATAAAATGTTTTCATCTACTAGAATTACTGCTTCACACTTGTGTGCTTCAACCAGCAAAACCAATCCGATTCACAGCAATGGGACAGAAGTGAAGTGACTTCTGAACTTTCCCCAGCAAAATCTAATCAGTTCCTCCTTGAGTTAAAGAGGACATCTGTGTCAAATTTAAAGAAATTCCTTCCAGGTGTTCCTGAGGCTGGACAGACGGACATAGCCACAGCTGTCATTGGCACAGAGGCATAAAAAGCCCAGTGCCTTCAGGGGTGTCAGTGGTCATTTCTTCTAGGGCAGAGGTTCCCAGTCTTTTCAGACCATGTAGCACTATGTACTAAACCAAAATTTCAAAGTACCACTTCCCACTGCAGATACCATCACTTATGCATGTCTACCCCTGACTGCTACTTCTACTACTACTGCCCAGGCCTGGGGCCAGGAGAAAGTGACTGTCAAATAAGATGCATTGATTTATCCACACAGTAGCATTAGAAAGGCAAAATACAGTCATGACCAATAACATTGACACCCCTGCATTTCTGTCAGATAACTCATCACTTCTCTTAGAAAACTGTTGCAATTACAGATTCTTTGGTTTCTCATGTTTATTTCTTTTGTTTGCATTGGAACAACACAAAAAAGCCAAATCTGATCCATTCCACACAGAACTCCAAAAACAGACTGGACAAAATTACTGACACCTTTTCAAAACAATCAGAAATAGTCTGTAGTCCACAGTTCAAACTGTCCTTTGGCAAGACACTAAACACCCAAGTTGCCCCTGATGGTTAGAACCATCGGTTGAGTTGGCACCGCAGATGGCTGCCTCGGTTCTGTACCGGAAACAAATTCCTTGTGCATAACATACTTGGCCAAATAAAGGTGATTATTGATTATCATTAATTTGTAATGAAACTCACCTGTATCAACCAACAGGTGCTGGCAACATAGAAATCACACTGGTAACCAGTTAAACTGGAGAAAGGTTGACTCAGCCTTTGTGTCGTGTGGACCCAGAAAGTTGGGTCTCTATCAGAGGTCATGGGTCTTACAGCAGGACAATGACCCAAAACGGACTTCACAAAGCACCAGAAATGGTTTCAGAAAATGAGCTGGAGAGTTCTGAAGTGGCCAACAATGAATCCAGATCTAAATCCCATAGAGCTCCTGGAGAGATCTCAGAACAACAACTGGGAGAAGGAAGCCTTCAAACCTGAGACCTGGAGCAGTTGGCAAAAGAAGAGTGGTCCACAAGTCCAGTAGAGAGGTGGAAGAAGCTCACTGATGGTTACAGGAAGATTTCAGTTATTTTGTCCAGAGGGTGGGCTACCAGATATTAAGCTGAGGCTGTCAATAATTCTGTCCAGTCATTTTTTTGGAGTTCTGTGTGGAATGGATCAGATTTGGCTTTTTGTGTTATTCCAATGTAAACAAAAGAAATAAATATGAGAATCATTCATTTGAAACGGCAGCGTTCTCTCTCTCTCTCTCTCTCCTTGACTGTCCCTGTTGTTTCCCTTCTGTCTGTAGACTGCAACAATAAGAACGATGGTTACGTACAGTAACCCAAGCTTTTATTTTGTATAGGCTTCGCCCTCTAAGAGCTGTCGCTATTGGGTTCACCCCGCGCGCTTGCGCAGTCCTGGAGATATTCTTTCGCACCCTGTGCCCTGCACTGGGCTGTCCCCAAAACAAGTCCGCTGCGATGGCATAAATGCCACTGTGACCTGTGATCAGCTCCCTACACCAGCACTTTTTCATCAGCTGGTGGGGGTAGAGACAGCAGGGCTGCCAGCTTAAAAGGCTACACCTATACTACAGGCTAAGGTCTGCCTCATGACATGAGATCCGCAGCGTAGTTCTGCTCACCAGGGATGTGCACGGCTCTGAGGGAGAGCAGGTGATGAGCCCAGAACAGGAGTTTCCTGCAGTTTTCAGCAGCTGGCAAAACCAACATCGCCCTGACGGCTGATGTATGTGACATATTGCAATGTCTGATCGCACCACTTCCTCTCAGCACCAGTGCAAGGTGTTTCACCACCTTCAGCACCATAACTAGTTCCAGACAGTTGATGTGGAGAGACGAGGTGTGATCCCACCGTCCTCCCACAGCCTGTGACGGACACGTGCCTCCCCAGCCGAGTAGAGACGAGTCTGTGAACACCGAGACATGTGATGTGGCTCTGCCCAGGGGAACTCCTAGTGTGCTGACATTGGGAGTTCCCCAGTACTCCAGGTCTGATTGGACCAAGGGGGGAATCGTGAGTACGTGCCTCTTGTGGTGCATTGGGTCGCGGCGCAGACGGCCGAGCCACCTCTGGAACTTCCTGGTATGAAGAAGACCAAGGGGAACTACGACATGACTGGCTGACATTGCTTCCAGTAAAAGCATGACAGATAGAGCTGTTACTCTCGTGTGGGGAACAACACGCTGCAGGAGAGATGAAAACACTTCTCGCCTGGTGGGTAACAGCCTCGCTTCCATGCTAAGAGAGTCTAAGTGCACTCCCAGGTAGACAATTGTCTGGGTGGGCACCGGAGAGCTCTTTGTCCAGTTATTGCAAAAACCAGTTGTGTCAGGAGTTGCACCAGCACCGTTGTGTGATGTCTGGCACACACCATCAGAATCAGGTCATCTAAATAAAAGAGGACTCTGACTCCTGCTCTGTGTAGCGGTTCTAGCGCCGGTTCACTGCACTCAGAATAAAGTGGGGGTGCTAGTGAATACCTGAAGAGCAGCCTGATGAGTCTGAGTGCACTCCAGGGTAAGAAATAGTCTGGAAGGGCACCGGTGAGCACTTGTCCTTCTTTCTTTCCATATGGGTTTATTGCAAAAAACCAGCTGTGGAAAAGCAAAGTGTAGCCGGTTCGAATCAGCTTGTCCATCCGAACGTTCATGGACAGCTACTCTCGCCACACCGTGTAACACTCTGTCAGTGGACAAGTGTTCATACGCAGTGCACTCTGGTTAACAGCACCTGCAGCTCTGCTGTCAGTGCAGCGGAGCTCGCAGGTGGAGTCAGCACGCCACTGAAAGCAGAGGGGTGCCTGGAAAAAATGTAGGGTGTGGCCGGTTCAATCAGCTTGTCCATCTGAATGTTCATGGACAGCCACTCTTGCCACACCGCGTAACGCTCCATCAGTGGACGGGCTCGGGTTCCTATGTGGTGCACTCATGTGCATTGCCGCTAGCCACTGATGCACCCTCTCCGCCATTGCCAGACAGCTGTTCACTCTGAGCAGCCCCAGGAAAGGCGCTGTGGGAGGAAGGGTGTCGCTGTGGAGACGGCTAAGTCAAGTGCACCCAAAGGGATGAGCAGTGTGTGTGTGAGAGAGAGAGTGAACACAGAGAGCCTCTCCTTCTTTTCTGAGAACAATTGTCAGAAAAACTGCTCTCATGAGTCTGGTGGTGGCCCTGAAAAGACAGTTGTGTGTCAGAGGCAGGGTCCACAGGGGGCGTTGGCAGCGCTGCGCCCTCCGTTGTGGGGAGAACTCATAAAATGAGTGCCCCACTCAGGCTTTTGTCTTCACACTGTTAGTCGCTACACCTGCCTTGGATGTGCGTTAATAAACACGGGCCGAGAGGCGAGGAGTGACCTGGTTCAGTGAGCAGACAAGTGGCCCGCCTCCTGCCAAGAGACATCGCCTGGGAAGCAAGATAAGGAGATGCTTGGTCCCTGCGGCGGAAAATGGCAGGAAGCCGAGTTGGCCAGATGGGCAGCTCTCGCTCCGCAGTGCCGTCTGTAGGAGCCACACATTATGCCTGATGGGGGGGGGGCAGTTGGCGGGGGAGATTAATGCCCCCACGGTCTGCCGCCTTTGATGATTTCTGTCAGAAGCGCAGCAGAGCCCCGAAAGCCAGAGGTTAACTGGCGGCAGGAGCAAGCAGCTGAACCGGAGGAGGCTCACTCTGCCGGCACCCATGTCGACTAATGGATCGATGGCAGGGAGTGAATCAGTGGACCCAGGCCCACTCATGCCGAGAAATCCAGGGGGGCACTTGCCAAGGGACCGTCACCGTGTTTAGCCTATTCTAGCCTAGCTTAGCTGCTGACATTGTCAGGGCCCTGCCCTGATAGCTGCGAACGCCACCGCCCGGCACTTCTCCGCTGCGGGCAAGAGACTACCAAGGGGGACAAGCTGCCTGGGAGAGAGTGCTGGCTTGGCGTGTGAACATGTTATGAAACCCGGATCGCAGCCTGGGCACACAGTGACGGCGGTGCAGCACTGGAGTCTGGCAGTGATAAAAGAGGATGTAATTACCCATGATGTTTCTTAGACTGCTGAAGAAACAGAGGGAGCCGATCACAGGTCACAGTGGCATTTATGCCATTGCAGCGGACCTGTTTTGGGGACAGCCCAGTGCAGGGCACAGGGTGTGAAAGAATCTCTTCAGGACTGCGCAAGCGCGAGGGGTGAGCACAATAGCGACAACTCTTAGAGGGCGAAGCCTATACGAAATAGAAGCATTTTTCCTAACCATGAAAAGCAGGCAGGCCTAGGAACCAAACTAAGTGACATATTCTGTCTGCCTTTCTATTCACTGATCTTCTCTGCTCAGTAATATGGACAGCTACAGTACACCTGCTGCAGACACAGCACTGAATGAACTGAGCCAAGCTAATGTTACTAGTCATAACATCATGCCACCCTTCTCAACAATGAATCATTTATTTTTATCATATTATATATAAAATTATGAATGAACTTGTCTTTGCTTGTTCCTGCTTTTAGTTATTTATTTTGCTGAGGGATTTTTTTTTCATGGAAGGAGCAGATTTGCATCTGTTTTAAAGAAATCTTTTTCATCACTGCAAATACACACAGGCAAATTCTAAAATATTCAATTGATTAACAACAAATTTTTACATCATTGCAGTGTAATTTAATAACTGTTTGTAATAAAATATTATGACAATTTTCTTGATTTTAAGTGGAAACCCCCTTTGGGAGAAGAGTTTTAGGTGGTCACTGAGGTGAATGCTGTTTAAAGCGTAGATGGTGCCAGCAACTTTTCTGTTTAATCTGTGCTGGATATTTGTGTGAGACGTGTTGTATGCCATGGCCAGTGACTTAACATTAACTCTATAGCCACCCCTTATTTTTTCCATGTACTCCTCTGCAGCCCCTCTCAATCTGTCCTCTATCCAGTGATTATATTGCTTTGCCTTTGTTACCCCTTTGCCATTGTCAGCCTGTGTTCCTTCTCTCTGACATATTCTCTGCAGTGTAAAGCAGTTTACTAAACATCTACCATTCCAATAACAGGCTTCCTACACTCACCGAAATTGTTTTGTGTACTTTTACTTTTACAAAGAAAATCAAAAAGCCACACTAATACCTGCACAGAGATATGTAGGTGACAAAACACATTTCTTACAACATCATCAAAGTCAAAGCTCTTTATTGTCATTGTAAATTAACAATTAGATTTATTGCTGCAACTACTGCAACAGATCAAATATATAGAGTTAGGATAAAGGCAATAATAAAATAGTAAAAGAACACATTAAAACAATGTTAAGGTTTTTGGACTCGCTTCTTGTTTTCTACCTTTATTTTGACTGGTTTCTGGTTTTGTGTCACATCATAATCATAATTATCACTCAGTTTCCACCTGTCGTTTTCTCCCGGTCTTCCATATATTCTCCTCCTTTCCCTCAGTCACTTGCTGGTTCATTCTGCTCACCATGCCCTGGTTCTGTAGCCGTCTCCTGTTTGTTTCCTGCCCTGGCTACTTTTGGGCTGTTTCTCTTTGAGTTTTGGATTTACTTGTCATTAAAATTTTTGGTTTGTTTCTTCAATTTTGTTTGGGTTGTGAGTTTGAGTTTTTTTCCCTAGCTCCCTGACTGCACTGAACTGTTTTTGCCTTAGTTGATAGTTTGTCATGCTTTGTCAGGTTGAGCTCCTCGAGTTTTTCCCTGATCTCTCTGTCCAGCGTCCTTATGTTAAAATTCTAGTAAAAGCTACTCCTCAGCCTGGGTTTGCATGTCCGGGTCCTTCCTGTGCCTCAGACTTATCAGTTAAGCAATGGCAGTGCAATGCAGCAAAACAAAAAGGCACGATCAGTCACTTATTGCTCACTTGCAGTATATGAATGATGCTGCACTTTGTCCTAGTAGCAGAGCTAGCTGTCTGCTCACAAAAAACATGCCACAAATGTGCACAAATATTACTTGTTAAATGAGACAACTGCTGGTGGGAAGAAGCTGGTTTTGAATCTGTGTCCGTGCTTGAAATCAGTAGTGTTTCCTAATGTTTTAGTTTTGTTTGGCCACCTTTTCTTAGACCTATTACTTATAAACCTGTGTAGGCCAAGAAGTATATCATTTCAGTCTTCATTTTACTCTCATGGCTCTCATGTGCATAAGCAAAACTACAATTTGCAAAACTGTGTCTGGTGGGATCACAGGACAAGTTGAGGGTGGTCCTGGCATCCAGTGGAGGATGGGGACCGCCAAGCCGAGCCAGTGCGTGTCACAAAAGCCACAAAAATTGCATTAATAAACAGGAATTTAAAGAGGAACAAAAAAGCTGAAAATTATTTCATGTGTGAGTTTCCAATACCTTTAAATGTGTTCAGTTATACTAAGCTCCTTAATTTAATTTCCATCTGCAAACAGGTGGCTGAACAGGGAAACTGTGGTGATGAACTGTGATCTGCTGCAAACTGGCCCTCTGTTAATGGACAGCTCCTTATGGACTGAAGCCCTCTAAATGGAACTAAGGTAGAGGGTTAAGGAGAGGGTAGGCAGTGGTGACATGACATCAGGAGACAGAATGAACATTAAAAAATGAGGACCTAAAGTAAAGTCTGTAACTAACAGCAAGGTTAAATACAGCAAAATGTTTTTGTTCTGAAAATGACAGGGAAATACTCACTGTGCCTAGACAGAACCTTATTTGCCTATATGACATTGTGCCCAGCATGTACTGCTTACACAACCCCAAATAATAATGATGATCTCGTCTTAAAAATTAATATTTACACACACACAGTGTCACCATATTTTTTAATGAATTTTGGCAAAAACATCCCAGTGAAAAAGTTGACTCAGTGGCGTTTAGCATCTAACCAGCTCAGGTGTTGTGTAGAAGAACAGCTCCAGGTAAACCAGATCATGCAGGGTTTCACAGGTGTGGACTCAATCAGGCCCAGTGGCTTGGTGTGTCTGTTAAACAGCCAGGCTCCTTGAACAGAAAAAATAGTAGGAAACCTGTCAATATCACACAGTACAGTTCAACCGCAGCACAAACTACATCTGATCACTTTATGATGGGTTTATTGCAGCTAGGTGTACCTAAGAAAATGACAAATTAGTGTATACACATTTATTTGTTACATAGGGTCAGTACTTTCCTAAAGCTACTACTCACTGTAGTTTTTAACAAATGTTAGACATACTGTATGTGAGAAATGGTGCGTTTGTTGACAATGGATGAATCAACATGTGGCGCTCCAGGGAGTGGGCAGTAGGACAGTGTGTGTCTGTGTGCTCATGGTAATGAAGGAGCATGTCACCCAGTGCAACAGTGTGGTTCACCGATGTATTTGCAGTGGTTTCTGGACAACAGTGGTGTTCTATGGCACAGAGGAAGGAGATATACAGAATCAAGTGTTGATACACACATAATGCTTATACTGTAGGAGGTAGTGTTGGTTTGGGTCCGCACATGGGATTGTTGACTAAGAAAAATGCTTCACATTGGAAGATGTCTGAGGAAACATCCACTAGAACACAAACTGGGAGTGATCAGGACCATACACTGGGCTGAGAATATGCTTACAAGAGCAGAGGGGAAAGAGGAGCATAAACACATTGAGGAAGCACTTAAAACCTGTGGCTACCCAAACTAGGCCTTTGTCAAGAAGATCCAGTAAGAACCCCTCTACAACAGACAGAAGGAAAAAAACAAACAACACTGTCATGCCATGATGGAGTGTGTGGAAAAACTCAATACTGCATCTCGGTGCATTTAAAATACAGCAACACGTTGAGGCAGATGTTGGTCCACTCTCAGGACAAAACACCCAGACATAAGCAGAGCAATGTAATATATGCATTTTGATACAGTGAGGCATGCCAGGACAAATTTCACCACTGTGGCTATACCATGACCCGGATGACTGAGAATCTCCACAGACGTCTGGTATTACTGTGGCTATACAGAAAACCCTATGTTTATCCTAGGGTCCTGGAGGAAAAATCAGGAGACCATCCCGTAGGGAATACGACTGTGTACAACATTTAATGGCAGTCCATTCAATAACAGAGTCACGCTGTCTTTGTGGCTAAAACAAGCAAAGGCACAGTCAAGTCAAGTGTGTCATATGCACAGTGAGAAAACGTGTTTTCCCGTACAATGAAATTCTTACTTTGCCGTCCGCACGAATGCCACAATATAAATGAACCAGTCGGGGCGACTGTGGTTTAGTGGTTAGAGCAGTTGTTTCCCAACCGGAGGTTCGAATCTCAGTGCCTGCAGTCCATGTGTCGAGTGTCCTTGGGCAAGACACTGAACCCCCAAGATGGTTAAAGCCATCAGTTGAGTTGGCCCCACAGATGGCTGCCTCGGTTCTGTACTGGAAACAAATTCCTTGTGTGCAACACACTGGCCAAATAAAAGTGATTTATAAAGTAGATATGTAGGTGACACAAATATCAGGACGAGGTAATTTTTTTAATAATCAAACAAACAAAACATAACAATGGAAAAACTCTAAATCCAAATGAGAACTCAACTACATTTGGTGCACTTTTCAACACTGTTCATAGTGTCTCCTTATCTTCTGCTCTTATCTTTATAATCTTACTCATTGGTTCCTTATTTCTGCATCTGAAAATTGTTTTCAAACTAACACAATCGGGATCAAAACTGTGAGAACTGTCAGAGACTAGCTAATTACCATCTCTGATAGAGCACCATACTAAGTAAGTGATACTTAACTGAGATATTTGATAGAACTAAAAGTGCAAAGAGCAATGACAAAAATAGATCCAGTAAACACAAAGTGATTATTAATAAATCATGGAAATCAGAGCATCGCTTTGTATAGGGTGAGAGAGTGGCGTAAGAAGTGGTCCTGCGCCATACACGCCAGCAGATCCCTCAGTATCACCCGAGTCACCCTCTGAACACCCTGTCTGGGCAGCAAAGACACCTAAGACAGACACACACACACACAAAAGTAAACTTAATACTCTATAAATGTGAGAGTGTCTTAGCAATAATGTGCAGTGAGCTGGTCGTTATCATAAAATACATCCCAACACTGAGCAGGATGACAGGAGAGAAGTGAAGACCCCGATATGAACCTTCTGGTCTTATGGCAAGTTTTTGACACATACAGGCAGAAATGTACAACAGATAAAATCTTTCAAATTTGATCAATTTTTACTCTTGACTGAACATACAGTATGCAGTAACATACTAAAAAGTTGCAAAGAGCAGCCGTACAAAGACAGATATTCTGAAGAGCTTCCACTCCAAACTGCTCTGCCATCACTCCTCCATCCTTCCTGTCATCAGTGTGCACTGTGCTGAGGCAAAGGAAGCCCTGTGGCTGTGAGAGGAAGACGAGGGAGGATGAGGCAGCAGGCAGCTCCACTGGGTAATGGAGTTCAAAGGCAGTGGGGAGTGTGTGCAGTTAATAGAGCATCCTCATCTATAAGCCTCCAGCCTGAGGGGCCAGGATTTAAACACAGGGAATTAACACACTAAACTAACAATATCACACATGCTAACTGTGATGAGCTGTAGGCTTCCTGTGAGTCTCGGTATTCTATGGGAACTTTGGCGACGCTGGCCTTTAAGAATTCTTTCTATCAACATGCTGCTTTCTTTAAGTTTATATTCATTGTATTCAGTCATGTCAGTTAAGGCATTAGTTTCTCAAAATGTCATTTCAGACACACAAAGAAATAAATCCAGAGGATTCTAACAAGAAACTAACAACAAAAAATAACATGTACCTGTTCCTGCGTAGTCAGAACAGGTGCTGTCTGAACACTGAGACCTAAGAGAGCAAGAATACCAACCTGGCTTTCAGCGTGCTCCAGAGATCTCTTCTTGCGAGGACCGATGGCTGCCAGGGCGGTGAGGTTGGCCTCTCTTTGCTGCAGCTGAGCTTCTTCTATTTGTTGTAACTGAAGAGACAAGAATACAAAGACTTAGTGAAAATGTGATGGATAAACGAAGAGTAACAGCTATTCAAACATTCACTTAACAACAGTTTTAGTTAGCTATTGTAATGGTTGAAAATAAACAAGGTTCCAGAGGTAATATGTAATAGAACAGTATGTAGTTCATATTTAGATATTATTTGTAATAGTCTTGGGCTGTGTCCCCCTTGTTTAACCTATGGGTCAACATCCCGAGTGACTTCCTCCTCAGATAGGGAATGGATATACTGTAGCTGCAGCCTTATGTGAACTGTTTGTGTGCTCTGTTCAGGTTTAGAAAAAGGAAATGTGCGCTAGGTCAATGTGACCTAGAAGTTCATGTACTGAACAGCTTAGACAATGCTCGGAAGAAGGTGTGTGTGGGTAGCTGGCATGGGACCGCGTCTTCATGGCTCAGGCCATGGAGGGCTGTGTAAGTGCGAGCCAATAAAAAGCTGGGTTAGAGCAGAAAAAGAAGAGAGGATGACAATGCTACCATGACAGGGAAAGTATACTTTGTGGGGAACCCAGCCGGCTGGGGGGACACTGAATTAAGACTGACTGCTGACTAAGACTGACGGTACCTCGTGACAACAACTGACTGACTGGGCCTTGTAATCAGGACTGACTGACGCTTTTGACAATCTTCTTATTTAATACTTTATTTATGACATTGCAGGAGGAGAGTCTCTGTTCTCTGTTCCCTAACTATCAGATTGTCTATTCAACTGCTACTCTGTTCAGAATAATTGTAATATTAAATGATCACTTGAATTGGGATGGTTTGTCTGAATTAATTTAGTCGGCATCACACTCTAGCTATGACACTATTTATATATTGGCACTTACTGTAAAATGCCAAACTGTGTATATGGTTTAAGTTACAGAAGAAAAAAATCAAAATGTGAGAGTTAGATGAGAAGGTGAGTCCGCACAGTGACTACAAGGCCACAGCCAGCAGCTGGTTATCATAGCTTAGCAGCCAAAGGTGGTGCTACAAAGTATTAACTTAAGGGGGCTGAATAATTTTGCACGCCCAATTTTTCAGTTTTTTATTCAGTTTTTTATTTGTTAAAAACGTTTGAAATATCCAATAAATTTCGTTCCACTTCATGATTGTGTCCCACTTGTTGTTGATTCTTCACAAAAAATTACAGTTTTATATCTTTATGTTTGAAGCCTGAAATGTGGCAAAAGGTCGCAAAGTTCAAGGGGGCCGAATACTTTCGCAAGGCACTGTACCTCCTCCATGTTAGGACACGAGCCAATCTAAAAACTTAAAGTACAAATCAAATACATTTTCCCAGAGGTGATTTCTGTTGTATTTGTTAGATATTATCATTTGGTGTGTGTACAAGTGGTCGTATTTCTGGGGGGTTCTTTAAGTTATTTGATGATATAAAAAGGAGCGTTTCAGATGATTTGACAGATTTGAGTGCTGGCCTGATATGTCACTCCACTTCTGTCGTTACTGAGCAGAATAGGCTTGCAAAATGCTAAGATGGGAGCTGCCATATCCAAAGTATTTGGTCTCACTTTTGTATTTTGGAGAGAAGTGATGCGTGGTCCATATTTACTGTATACACAGCTACAGTTTAAACCGCACAAAAACTGACATGGACTCTGCTGGTTGTCTGGAGCAATACTCCAGCACACGACTCCTCCCTGAAACACCAAACTGATATTTTTACTCTTCAGGTGCTTACAGTAACTATTAGTTTCGATAGCTAACTCTCCACTAGACAGTGACAATGACAACTAGTCCTTTATTGTGTTTCCACAAAACACATTTCCCCATTTCACTATTGATGGGATCTAAACTGGGAGGGATCAATCAGATAAACAAAGCTTGTTCTTAGTCACTGAATACACTTTATTCACTACTCGGTTATTGGTTGGGGGGCGTAAGAGGGACCACATAATGCCAGTGCTGGCATCTCTCCACTGGCTTCCGGTGCGTTTTAGGGTTCGTTTTAAGATTCTTTTATTTGTTTATAAATCCTTAAATGGGCTGGCACCATCTTATCTGGTGGAACTTTTACGTCCGTATAACCCGTCGCGGTGCCTCAGATCAGCAGATCAGCTTCTTCTGGAGGCACCGAGGGCCAGGCGGAAAACTAGGGGGGATAGAGCCTGTGCTGTTCTCTACGAACAGTAGCTGACCCGGAGGATAATTCTGACACCTTCTGTCCTAAGACTGTAATTGCAGCTTCTGTGTCTCTTAGTGATGACATCATTAACATGAGCCACATTCTGTATACAGCTTATCTGTATTTAGACAGGATGATCTCTTCTCCTCGATTTAAGTTGTTTTGAAGGCACCTTCGGTATGTAAAAGCTATTGAAAAACGTTTAAGTTAAGTAAAGGCAATGTTTAAGTTGAAAGCGTACTCATTTATCATTACATTCTAGGATTATCAACGGGAGAAGTTAAGACACACTGTTAAGCAGTTATACGTTATTGTAGACGCTGTTTGTACACGCTAATATACGTTATTGTAGACGCTGTTTGTACATGTTAATATACGTTATTGCAGACGCTGTTTGTACATGCTAAGAGTCCATTGGTTGTCTGTGGTCTGTGGGAGACGTTATCAGTCTGTCGAGTCAAACAAGGTCTTTTGACATAAAGGGCAGAACAG